GTTGGTGGAGCTATGGCACCAATGGCTGTGGAGATGGCGCGCACATCCACAGGATGCATGGCTGTAGCTAGTGTGCTGGAGAATATGATAGCGCCAAGGCCTGCTTGAGGCCCCAGTGATTGTTGTCGGGGAGTCGGAGATGGCAGTATGGGAGAGGGTCTCGTTGTCGCGGAGATGGGGCTCTGCGCGGATCGTTGCGCACAGCCTTGCTCAATATATTAGCATTAGGTGACCAGTGGCCGAGCGGGAGCGAAAGCGGTAGGAAGCGCCACCCGCTCCGCCCAGAGAACACGCCCGTGCGAAGGGGGAGGCAGAGGTGGTGGAAGTGGTGAAGCGCCACCCTACTGCCTTGGCCCCCGTATTGAGCAGACGGGGGGGCCTCCACCGCTCTCTCTCTCTCTCTCTCTCTAATTGACGTTCGCCCTCAATGCAGGGAGTCTCCCCCCTCGAGCTTCATGCGCGCGGGCTCAGTGGGACACTGCGATGGATATCGTGTGGCGCGAAACGAAAAGGAGGAGGAGGGCGAAGGCCGCAGGATCCTGGCGGTCGAGTGTGAGTCTCCAGAGAATGCAGCAGACTCAGTGCTCGACAGAGGTGCGAAGCTCACGCACTGGGTAGCGAATGCCATCGCTGATACGTTGGCAGAAGAGGCTGCGAGGAAGGCCCAACTCCCAGGGTGGGCCATCGCCCAAGCTGCAGGGGTTAAAAACAGCCATGATGGGCTTGTTTTCCACCACCACCACCACCATAAGTTGGAGGGGGAGGGGGTCCTCTTCCTCTTCCTCCTCCTCCTCCTCCTCCTCTTCCTCCTCCTCCTCCTCCTCTTCGTCCTCCTCCTCCTCCTCGTCCTCCTCCTCCTCCTCCGCCCTGCAACTTATGGTGGTGGTGGTGGAAAACACGCCCATCAAGAAAGCGTTCGCGGTGCAGGCGCACCTGCCAGCAGACTCGCTGTGTGTTGTCCCATAATGCCCCCGAGCTGCATGGGCCCGGCAGCTGTGGAGACCGACGAGTGGAGGCCGAGCGAAGAAAGCTGGCGTCTCGGGAGCTACGCAAGGCCTCATCCAAGGGATCAGGCACACTGCTGTTGCGGTCCCTGGCAAGGCTCTCAAGTGCAGCGTTATGGGAACAAAAAGTGGCATAAACATGAAAAAATCGTAGGTCCGCGCGGATTTCTCGGATCCGCGCTGACCCCCCGGCGGCGCCTCCGGCGCCGCCCCTGGCGCGCTCCGCGCGCCAGGGAGGGGAGTCCAGCGCCGATCCGAGAAATCTGCGCGGACCTCCGAGTTTTTCATGTTTATGCCACTTTTTGTTCCCCTAGGCGAGCCTCTCAAGTGCAGCGTGTGTCTCGAGTCGCCCCCAAGGGGCCTCAGGGACCAGTGGTTGCAGCAAGATTGCCTGGGCATTTCCAGCGGAATCCACCCCTCCCTCCCACAAGCAAATCCAGAGATTCCGAGGTGTCCTCTTGTGTCGGTCCTGTGCGCGCAAGTCGTTCCAGAAGCTCTCCAGACCCTGCACTCATCAAGTTAGTGTTAGGTCGGGCGTGTCCCCCTACAGGCGGATTTTGGACAAAAAATCAAAAAGTGTCACGCAAAAAAAAAAATCCACAAATATTCAAAAGTAGTCGAAAAATCGTCCCCACACGAGTTTCTGACTATTTTTGACTACTCCTCCTGTAGAGGGACAGGCCCGGCTCAACGTTAGTGCCCCTCGGCGGAAAGTCCTCGGTGCCCCGGAGGAGGGGGCGCGCTGCCGAGGGACAGGCCTTGGTGGCCCGAGCCCGAGCCGCAGCTCGAGCTCCCCCCCCCCACTCGCGGAGGGACAGACCTCCCTTTAGCAATACGTAGCTAAGTGAAAACGACCTCGGGCCCAAACCTGGCGGGCGCAAGCCTGGAAAACGACCTCCACGGCGCCCTCTCGAGAACCGATAACGGACAATTCACGAATCGACGTGTCAGGGTAGGAGGTCTGTCCACCCCCGACCCACCCCCCTTTGTGGCGCACATCTACGCTTGAATTTTTGGGGGTGGTCCTGTCGCTGGCCCCTGCCTGAGCGAGGTGGAAGCCCAGGGGGTGCGACAAAAGGGCCGCCTGGCGGAGCCACCACCACCACCACCACCGAAATTGTATCAGCGGGGTTCCTCACTGGGCACCGCCAGCTAGCTAGGTAAGAGGCAGGAGAAGGAGGAGGAGAAGGAGGAGGAGGAAATGGTGGAGGTGGGGGAGGAGAGGGAGGAGCAGGAGGAGGAGGAGGAGGAGGAGGAGGAGGAGGAGGAGGAGGAGGGAGAGGTGGAGGAAGACCGGGGGGAAGGGAGATGAGGAGGAGGACTAGGGGGAAAGAGGGGACAGGAGGGGCGAGGAAAAGGAGCACGGCAAGGGTTATAAAGGTATCACCACATCATGCATCCACAGACCCAGAAAACAACATTCCAACGACTGCGGGACAAGGGTCCTCAAGCGACCTGCCGATCGCGCTCCCGCGCGCGGACCCCGAAAGGCTCAGTCTCGTCCCGAGCGCCAGATCCGAAGAAAAAAAGATCTCGCATAAACTCGAACGAAGAAGAAGAAGACGAAGAATAAGAAGAAGAACAACAAGAGCAGAGAAGAGGAGGAGGAGGAGGGAGAAGGAAGGACAAAAGGGGGAGGATGGGGGAGGAGGGAGAGGAGCGGGAACAAGGGACGGGGGGGAAAGGGAAGAGGAGGGGGGAGCAGGGAGAGGGGGAGGAAGAGGAGGAGGAGGAGGAGGAGGAGGAAGAGGAGGAGGAGGAGCAGGGGAGTAGGGATGAGGGGGGGGAGGGAGCAGGGAGGCTGGACCCTGCCCGAAAGGGCGCCATGCCGACATGACCTCGGGCCGAGCGAGCAGGCCCTGCGGCCTTGACCGTCATTAAGCTCCAGCCTCGAGACCCCGGGCACCGACGGGCGGAAGCCACGGGCAGGGCTCCGACCTCGATCGCCTGGGCCCGAACGCGACTGACGGAGGCCCTGGCGAGCCCGAGCTCCAGCGCAGGCTTCGCAAGGTCCATCGCTCGGCAGCCATCGAGGGCGCTCCGCTTGTCGCAGGCCTCAAGAACGCTCTCAAAATGCCACGTCCCGGCCTCGCGCAAAGGTGCTATAGGCTTGCGAGGTCCCCAAGGATGCCTTTGCCCGCGCCAGAGTGGCGGCGGACGCGCAAAGTCGCCTTCTTCTAACTTGCAGAGCTGGTTGGGCAGCTCGCGGTCAGGGCACCGCTAAGCCAGCGAGCTCGTCGCGCTGTCGAGGAAGCCCCCCCCGCTGGGCCCGCCGAACTCGCGCTGCAGTCCGGTGGCGTAGATGGGCGCGGCGACCAGGGCGCGACCCGCCGTGGCCGCAGCTGGAGCCCTATCTCCGCACGGGCGGTCGCCGCGCTTACCGCTGCCGGGCGGCGCTTGAGCGGCGCTGGCCTCCTCGAGCCAGTCGACGCTGACGGGGCCGCTGAGGCCCCACCGCCGCGGCGCGCTCTGCCGGGGGCACAGGCGCCGCGGGCTCGGCCAAAGGGCGCCCGGCGACCCCTGGGAGCGGCCGCCGTCCACGCCCAGGCAGGCGAGCTGGACGTGGAGGCATTTCGCCGGGGCGCAGCCCGTGACTTTGCGCCGCCGAGGTCCTGCGCGGCGACGCGAGGCCCCCAGGCCACGCAAGGCCTCAGGGCGAGGCGACGTCGAAGACTACCTACCAGACAACCCCAACCCAACCCGAAGACCCGAATTTCGGGTTGGGGGGGCAAGGGTTCCACGTGTGTTGTTTCGATGTTTCCCGACCCCCCCACACTGAAAATCGAGGGTAAATTTGAGCCTTCGGGTTGGGTTGGGGTGGTTTGGTGGGTGGTGAGTCGAGCCAGCTTGCACCGTCGGGCAGAGGGCCGACCGACCCTGACCCTTGCGGCGACGCGAGGGCCGCCTCCCGGGCGAGGTCAAGGGGAGGGCCCAACCCCGACCTTTCGAGCCGGTGGCTCCCTGGGGCGTCGTCGACCACGAGCTCGCCGTCGGGCCCGCGCGGTCGCTGCAGGATCAAACCCTGTATAGCTCCACCCCGCCAGGGCGATGATGCGCGGGGCCTCGGCCCCCATCGAGCCCCTGCACACGGCGTCTGCGACCGCGTCGGCGCAGGCGGGCGGCTAGGCGGCCGACGTGCACGCAGCCCTCCAGGCAGCGCCATGCCCCGAGGAAATGCGCGGGCTGCATTGGCCCTCGCTTGGCGTACTCATCCGCCACGCCGTGGCCGTCGAAATTCCACTGCTCGATCATGCCGCCCGCCACCGCCGACTGGCCCAGGCGTGCCTCGACCGCCGCGGCGCCCTCCAGCTCGTCGGCCTGCCCCGCCCAGCGGCAAGGGCCGCCGCCAGGCAGTGGATCTAGAAGTTGCCGCGGCTAATGCCAAGCACCGCGTTGACTGCGCAGTCTCCGCCGTCGCGCGGGAGCTGCTCAGGCCCCTCGTCTAGTGGCGCGGCGCCCCGAGCGAGCGCGATGGGCCAGCCCTGCGGGTCGCAGACCACGGCGGGCCAACAGGCTGCGCGGCGCCAAAGGAAGGCCCGGTCGACCCCCGGGCCGTCCACGATGATCTTTGTGCCTGGCCCTAGGGAAGGCCCAGCGCCTGCCATCGCAACTCATTCCACTCCATGGCCAGGGCGCTCTCGGCCCGCCAGAGCATCCCCGCAGCAACGCCGGGGAACAGACCTCGCGCGAACAGGGCGGTGAAGGGGTGGCCCAAGGCCAAGGCGTTCCACCAGCCGCACCGCCCCCTCGAGCTCGCGGTCGAGGAGCCCCCGCCTCCGCGCGCGCCACGGCCGAAATGGCGGGGGCGGACCAAGCCGCTCTCGCGCCCGCGGAGCTGGCCACGACACAGGACTGAGGGGTCGCGCGCCAGAACCCGCGCCTAGCGCCAGTAAACGCCCTCTTCCAGGCACCGCAGAGACCCCAGCCAGCGCTGGACCCTAACTGTCAAAGCGCGGCCCACCAGCCCCATGGCCTGCTGCATCCTGCCAGCCCCACGCGCTCCTCGAGCCCCCGCGCGCCGCGCGTCTCTTGGGCCACCAGCTGGCCGAAGGCAGAAGACCTGCGCCCGACGTCGCAGGCGCCGCCGCATGCACAGTGCAAGACGCACGGGTCGGCGTCCACGAAGCCCCACAAGACCTCCCTGAGGGCGAGCACGAGCGCTACGATGGGGCCATTGGCTCCTCTCCACGGCTGCGCGGCGGCCAGCTGCTTCGCGCCCCACAGCTGCGGCCACACGCAAGTAAGGCTCCGACGCGGCGCCGCCTGCGAGGCCACGGCAAGCGACGAAGGCCGAGGGAAGTTGAGGCCCAGGCCAAGCTGAATTCACGAACCGGAGCTCAGCGCCGTCGGCCACGGCCTTCGCCGTCTTGTGGCCTGCGGCAGGCAAGCCGATCTCCACTATCTGCTCGGCGAAGGCCGAATCGGCGGCGCCTTGCTGCTGGGCCGACCACTCGGTGGACTCTGCGACGCGGCCCCCAGCCGTCGACCGCGCCGAGGACGCGGGCCGCCAGGGGCAGCCATCGCCGCCGGCCGAGAGGCAGCAAGCCCGAGAAATTTCCCCGGGGCCGCGGCGCAACAGCAGCCGGCCGAGGCCGCGCCGCCGTCGCGCAGCGGGTCGAAGAAGATGGCCCCGACCTTCGCCCTGCGGAGCACCTTCGGCAGCCACGGGTCGACGTCCCAGGCCCCAGCCGCCACCCCAGCCGCAACCCAGAGCTCGTCGCGGCACGACGCGCCCGCAGCGGTTGGCCAGACTCCCGCGGGAAAGCCCCGCCTCCAGGCCGACGCGCCTGGGGTGCCCGACGAAGGCGACACGGGGCGAGGAGCCGCGCCGCCTCGCTGCATCCTCGGGGGGCCGGCTGACCCCAGAGCGGCTTCTGGTCTGTGGGGCGCCCCCACTTCGCGCACTTCTTCTGGCGGGTCCTCGAGCAGACTCCGGCCACGATGGAGGGCCAACGGGCCACTGCCCGCCGTCGGGCCCGGGGAGGAAGGCCATGGCGATGGTCCAGAGGGACTCGCTGAGAACTGCGGCAAACCAGCGGGTCATCTCATGCCCAACCTCGAGCAGAAGCTTCGGGGGGGTTGTCCCAGCCAGCAGCCCCATGTGGTCTTGGGGTGGACCCTGGCCGCTGCGGCCACCTGCCCGGGAGTGCCAGGGAGGTCGCCAGTCCTGCAGCATTCGGAGCAGGGCCGCCAGCCCGACCGGCGCTTGCGGGCGGTCGGTGTGGTCGTCAGCGAAGATGGCCTTTCCTCCTGGTGATACGTCTCGATGATCTCGTGGGCCAGCGATACACACCTGAGGGAGGCAATCCTCCGCGAAGTCATTCCAGCTGGCGCGGCTCGAGTCCGCATCGTGCTTGATTCGCTGGCTGATGAGGACCTGCATCATTCCCACGGAGGCGGCGCCATCGGCCGAGTGGCCCACTACCTGCCGCCAGAACGTGTCGAGTCGCAAGCCTTCGAGCATGTCGACGCTCTTCGTCAGCAGCTGGGCGGCCGCCCGCTGCGCTGCCGCCTTGAACACGCAATACCCTGTCAACTCAGTCCCCCCTTGCTGCTTCGCGCTAGGGGCGAAGTCCCAAAAGCGCTGGGTGGCCTGGTGCAGGGACAGCCAGTCCTTCTACGTGAGAGGCGATGCCCTGTCCAGGCGCTTCGTTCGCATAGTGGGCGAGAGGCGGCCGCAGTTGCTTGAGCACGGCCAGCTCCAGGGTCCGGGGTTCGCCAGGGACTGGTTTCTTTCCGAAGCAGCCGAAACCCTCACGAAGCCCTCCGAAAACCCTCCGGGAAGGGTTCCGGGAGGGTTTTCGGCGAGTTTGGGGAAGGTTCTGGAAGGGTCTTCATCGCTTTGGGAGGAAACCAATCCCTAGCGAACCCTGGGCATGTAAGTCTGGGCGGCTCCCAGGTCTTGGCCGCGGGAATGCATTCGGGGACCTCTGGGCCTGGGCCCTTCGGCTGCCGCCACCAACCCCCGAGGGCGAGGGCGACAACAGGGTGCTAGTCAGTCGGTGTGGCCGCCCACGCTCTGGAGCTCAGTGGGCATGGCGAAGCGGTCGTACTCGCAGTGCCCGCAAGTCGCCACCCGATGGGGCTACGACGGGGGCCCCCGTCAACTCGGGACCGGCCTGACTGGCCGAAGGCACGGCCTCGAAATTCCAATCGCCGCCGTTGTGGTGTGGCACGTACCCTTGGGCACACCACCCGTGGAGCTGCCCGAGCACGGTGACATTGATCCCGCGATGCCAACCCCGTCCTCGACCTAAACGGGGAGAAAGACAGTGGTGGGCTGAAGCCCGAGGGTGATCCGCCTCTTCAGGAAAGGGTACTGTGGTCTGTCCCACTGCATGAAGGGCGGGGCCACGACCAGCAGCGGGTTGGTGATGTTGCGAGGGGGGGAAGGAGAGGAGGGGGAGGTGACTTTTTGGAGTCAGCCTGGCGTTACGACTGTTGTACGCCATCATTGCAGCGTGGAAGGGTGCCACGTGTGCGTCCTCCAGCAAGCGGTGCCTGCCGCCACAAGGGGAAGGGGGATAAGTGACATAAAGGAAAAAGAAGGGGGAGGCCATACAGATTAAGGACACTCACCATGAGTCAGTGGCAGTAGCCAACGCCGAGACGTGCACGCCCCAACACTCAGAGGCCACAGTGGGGCTATCCTCTGACGAAAGGCGGCTGACTGGTGTGGTCAAGCCCTATCCCGTCAGGCAGCGAGAGCGCGACAAACGTTGCCCGGGTAGGCAGCAGAGAAGGGCCCAGTGGCCCTCGTGGGCCGAGGAAGGGGCGGACAAGAAGAGAGCAACATCGACAAGAGAGGAGATAGTTTTCACAGCTCGGGCAAACGGCCGAAAAGCACGTGTAAGGCAAAAGCACTGCTTAGACCGTCGCACCTTCGTAAAAGTCATGGTCTGCCGTCCAATTCTCTGAGTTGGGCAGGCGGTTACCTCTGGGAAAAAGCTGCTTGGGCCAACTCGCGCAAGGGGCGTGGCGCATGGGGGCCTGATGAGGCGGGGCCATGCAGAGGCCGGGCCATGTCCTGGTGGGGCGCCGCAATCTCAGAGAGACCTCCGAGGGGAGGTGCAAGGGGGAGGAGGGGGAGGAGGGGGAGGAGGGGGGAGGAGGGGAGGAGGGGGGGGAGGAGGAGGAGGAAAGAGGAGGAGAAGAAGGAGGCGGAGGAAGAGAGGAGAAGAGGAGTGGGAGGAGGGGGAGGAGGAGGAGGAGGAGGAGGAGGAGAGAGGAGACGGGGAGGGGGAGGGGGGGGAGGAGGGGGAGGAGGACGAGGAGGAGGAGGAGGAGGAGGACACGGAGGAGGGGGAGGAGTAGGAGGGGAGGGAGGAGAAGGAGGAGGAGGAGGGGGAGGAGGAGGAGGAGGAGGAGGAGGAGGAGGAGGAGGAGGAGGAGGAGGAGGAGAGGAGGAGGAGGAGGAGGGAGGAGGAGGAGGAGGGGGAGGAGGAGGAGGAGGAGAGAGAGAGGAGGCGGAGGAGGATGGAAGGGGGAAGGAGGAGGGAACGGGGGGAGGAGGAGGGGAGGAGGGAAAGGAGGGGGAGGAGGTGGTGGAGGAGGAGGAGGAGGAGGAAGAAGGAGGCGGAGGAAGAAGAGGAGAAGAGGAGTGGGAGGAGGGGGAGAAGGGGGAGAAGGAGACGGGGAGGGGGAGGAGGGGGAGGAGGACGAGGAGGAGGAGGAGGAGGAGGAGGAGGAGGAGGAGGAGGGGAGGAGGAGGAGAGGGGAGGAGGAGGAGGAGGAGGAGGAGGAGGAGAGGAAGAGGAGGAGGAGGAGAAGGAGGAGGAGGAGAGGGGAGGAGGCGGAGGAGGAGGAGGAGCAGGAGGAGGAGGATGGAAAGGGAGAAGGAGGAGGGAACGGGGAAGGAGGAGGGGGAGGGGGAAGGAGGAGAGGGAGGAGAGGGAGGAGAGGGAGGGGCAGGAGGAGGATGGGCGGCGGTGAATATGAGGGAAAAAGAAACAGCAGCGGCAGCAGGAGCAGCAGGAGCAGACGGAGGAGGCGGGGAGGAGCGGCAGCGGCAGCGGGAGCAGGAGGGGAAGAGGGGGTTGCGCCTCTGCGACAGGCTTGCGATTTCTCCTCTCGGCCAGAACCTCCTCACGGCAGGAGGAGAGGAAAGGGAGGAGATGAAGGGCAGGCGGAGGGAGGAGAGGGGGAGGAGAGGGGGAGGAGAGGAGGGGATGGAGAGGGGAGGGGGGAAAGGGGAATGGAAAGGGAGAAGGAGGAGAATGAGGGCGAGGAAGGAGGATAAGGGAAGGAGGGAGGAGATGAGGAAGAGGAAGAGGAGGGCGAGAGGCTCAAGCCCCCCGCGTCGATTGCAAGGGCCGCCCCAATCGGCCAGTCCTGGTGTTCGAGGGCCTGCTTCTCCAGACAGGCCTGTGCGGAGCCGGCAGAGCAGGGGCCAACCCAGTACATGCCTCCTCGAGGACCCCTCCAGCTACTCTCCTGCCCCCCCTCCACCTCCAACTCACCCAACGCGTCCAACACCTCCATCTCCTCCTCCTCCTCATCATCATCATCATCATCAGCATCAGCATCAATATCATCATCATCAACATCATCAATATCATCATCAGCAGCATCGGCAGCAGCATCAGCATCAGCATCATCATCAACAGCATCAGCATCATCACCATCCTCATCAGCATCATCACCATCCTCATCAGCATCATCATCATCATCAGCAGCATCGTCATCATCATCATCATCATCATCATCATCATCATCATCATCATCTACAACATCATCATCATCATCATCATCATCATCATCATCATCATCATCAGCATCATCATCATCATCAGCAGCAGCAGCATCAGCATCAGCATCATCATCAGCAGCATCATCATCGTCAACATCATCAGCATCGTCATCATCATCCGCCTCCCCATCCTCGTCCTCCTTCTCATCCACCTCCCCATCCTCCTCCTCATCCTCCTCCTGCTCGTTCTCCTCCACCTCTTCCACCTCCACCTCCACCTCCGCCTCCACCTCCCCCTCCTCCTCCTCCGCCACCTCCTCATCGGCGTCCTCTTGTTCGTTCTCGTCTTATTAGTAGCCTCATTGTAGTCAGTGGTATCCATGATCTTCTTCTTGTATTCGCGATGCGCGTGTGAATAGTACCCGTATTATCATTAGTAGTAAGTCTAGTCGTATTATCATGGATGGTAGTCGCATTATTATTTGTAATTTTACTGTAGCAGTAATGAATTTAGTATGAATCGTAGTATTGGTATGTTTCCTCTGCTTAATAATCGTAGTGGCACGACATATGCGAATACAAAATGAATGCGGATACGAATAATAATAACACTGCTAGAAATCATAATCGTGATACTAATAGTGTGCGTAGTAAGAATGGGCTTCGTAATCATAGCATGGGTACTAATAATAAGCGTAATCGTATTATTACGTGTCGTCTTATTATCCAAACAGGCTTGCCC